AATATCGAGACTCCATTCCGGATCATGGAACGCGAGTGTCTGAGGAATCACGAGTTCCGAGAGTACTGGGAACACGCATGTTTTTCTGCATGCTCGAGAACAAAGCTCCCGGAGTTTTCTTACCCGACAAGAACCGAGCGCATCTGCGAGTGGGATATTCTGCGGGCCTCAGAACATGTTCCCCATTTCCCCAACTGCCCCAGCTCGTCCACGTGTCAGGTCATTGTTGAACCCAGTATTGTTATCCTGGAAACAAAATTCCCTCCCTATCACCGCCAATTGCCCTTCCTCTTCCTGACCATTGCCCCTTGGCGAGCACTCGCCCCCTACTGGCCACAACCACAGTTCCAAGTGCCTGCAGGACCACACCTACCGAGCATCGGAAGCCGAACAACGGGAGCACAGCCTCCGGATAAGGCCGGTCACGTCCAATTCTGAGATTTGCGAAACCCGTCGACAACGGGTGTTGTACCAACGAGACAGCCATAGCGTCCCGACGGTACATATAATATGAATTTGTCCCAAGCAACGGGACCGACGCCACTTCAACTTAACGTAATACCCAACTTTTTCTTTGTCAAAACAATTGAAAAATAGCAGTTTTCCGCTACCTTGTGTAATCGTGTCAATCAATACATGAAGTTAAATCTCTATCGAAAAACATATGTCCTTAACTTCGTATTATCACTAATCAGTTAATACTATCAAATATAAGGAAAAAGTCATCCTGATCAGTTCCATGTGAAAGGTTTTATAGCAGTGTCAAAAAGTATTGTCACCCAACCGTCCCCACAATGCCACTTTTGTCGTGTAAGGCGAGTGGAGCATATGTTAATTGAGACTTGCAATGGTCGGGAGTGGAAAAAGACTCCCTGTGTATACACCCCTTCGAATGTTCATGTGTCCCTAATCACTATGTCGCCATGGTCATGTGAGTATTAGAACTGGATATGCGAAATTGATGTCACTCATAAACTAAGGTATTCGCTCGAATACCTTGGCTCGTAATGGATAAGCAGGCCTGAAAGCTTAACAAATGTTGTGAAGGACAACTTAGAAAAGTGAACGAATGATCATGAATTCCCCTTAGGGGCCTTGGTTCACTGCAAACCATTATAAATGTATATTAGGATGAAGCAAACAATGATTCATATAAAGTTAAATGTTAGGTCCCTCGAAATATCATGATAGCCTAGGCTACCAGAGTGGCCCGGGGTCACTTGCCCGGCCAGGCCATAAAGAATAAAAATAATAAATTATTTTTAACTTTTATTTTTTATTTAAAATTTGGTAAAGAATTTCGATGTGAACCTGAGGCAAAAGTTGTTCAGTTTAGTTTTTTGCATAACATAGTTGTTTTTCAGAATTTTTTCGATTTTTTTTTNTTTTTTTTTGGGACCTTCCCTTGTCCTTGCACGGGCTGGCCAGCCGGGACCCGGGCGGCCCGGCTGGTAGCCTAGATGATAGCATAATCTTGATAAATTTTAAATGTTATGCAGTGCAGGAAAACGCTTCGTTATATAAAAAGTACTAAGTCATGACTAGGGATATGACCAGTGGAATTGGCCCCATTGTCAACACTGGGTTTGTTCAATTGAATTTTTATCACGATTTACGACAGCGACATGACCAAGTTCCACTGCACATGCATCAAGATGTGTCGTAGATTCGTATACGTACATAATGCTTAACCAAAATGTATGTGGATTATTCCAATATCGAGGTTCGTTTCGAATGTTGTGTATTATAGATTAGCATGACCTATGTGCAAAGGGTGACACATTCTGAAAAATATGTAGTGCGAGTTTGTGATATGAGCAAACTTACACAACCTTAAAAAATAATTATGAAAGGAAAAATTGCATATATACCCAATTTAAAGACGAGAGTATTAGCTATACTGAGTGTCAGCGCCATACTTGCATCTATACCCAGACCTAATTCAACTTAACATAGTGTCCAACTTTTCCCTTGTCAAAATAATTAAAAAATAAAAGTTTTTTGTTTCCTTGTGTAATCGTGTTAATCATTACATGTAGTTATATCTCTATCGAAAAATATATGTCATTAACTTCATATTATCACTTATCAGTTAATACTATCAACAGAAAAATTCCCACAATGAATGAAAGTTGAAAAAATATTCTATAAAAATAATTATTTATATTTATAAATTATAATTCCAACGTTCGTCCAATTCTTAAATTTTCAGTTTTAGTCGATAAGTTATCATCTAAATATGAGTTTTCTCTTTCAAATACATTTATTTGATCAAATATGGAATGAAATATGAACGAGTTTATGAAATATTTTAATTAAACTTTCAAGATTCTACTACAATAAATATATTCTAATTTAGATTGGATTAACCTATTCATGACTGAAAATCCTTACTTACAACGAAAGTCCAATAAAAATATTTCATGAACTCATTCAGACTTTCATTCCATCTCAAGCATTCAGTTCAAATAAGAAAGGATACCCCAATTTTGGAAGAAAAGTTTTCAAGTAAGACGAAAAGTTTTAAAATTAAAATGACATTTTTAAAGATGGAATGAAAATTTAAAATTTAGAATGTAATTTTACTACAGAATGGTTATTTAATTTTGAAAATTTTTTATGTTGATCAAATACGCGAAAAAAATCATCCTTATCAGTTTCATATGATAAGGTTTTATAGCAGTGTCAAACACTTTGGCCACCCAACCGTCCCCACAATGCCACTTTCATCGTGTAAGATCGGCGGAGCATAGGTTAATTGTGACTTGCAATGGTCGGGAGTGGAAAATGACTCCCTGTGTATACACCCTTTCGAATGCTCATGTGTCCCTAACCATTATGTTGCCATTGCCATGTCAGCACTATAATTCGACACACGAAATGAATGTCACTCATGAACTAAGATATTCGCTCGAATACCTTGGCTCGTAATGGAAAAGGAGACTTGAAGGTTTAAGAAATGTTGTGAAAGAGAACTCACGAAAATGGACGAACGATCGGGAATTCCCTTTAGGGGTCCGAATCCACCGCAAAACATTATAAATATATATCAAGATGAAGCAAATAATGGTCCATATACAGTTAAATGTTATGTCCCTCGCAATATCATGATAGCATAATCTTGATACATTTTAAATGTTATGCAGTGCAGGGGAACACTTGGTCATAAAAAATGTACTAGGTGATCATGAATAGGGATATAAATGACATAGTGGAATTGACCCCATTGTCAACACTGGGTTTGTTTAACTGAATTCTTAGCATGATTTTGGAGAGAGACTTGACCAAGTTTCACTGCACATGCATTTAGATATGTCACAAGTCTGTATACGTACATAATGCCTAACCAAAATGTATGTGGATTATTTTGAAGTTGACATTTATTTAGAATGCTGTGTATTGTAAATTAACATGACCTCTGCGCAAAGGATGGCACATTCCGAAAAATGTGTAGTGCGAGTTTGTGATATGAGCAAACTCACACAATATAAAAAAATAATTTTGAAAGGAAAATTTGCATATATACGTGATTTAAAAATGAAAGTATCAACTATACTGAGTGTCAGCGCCCAATTTGCATCTATACCCAGACCCAGTTCAACTTAACGTAGTGCCTGAATTTTTCATTGTGCGAAATTAGACACATACCCTATCCCGCATGTCGTTCGTAGGGGACCACAAAATTATTCTCATGCCCATAAACAAGACTGACAAAATTATAGTGTACCCATGTCGAGATGACATTTCGAATTCAAAATTCACCACCCCTGTCTTCCTCCTCAACCTTCCCGTACAAAAAGAAAAAGAAAGAAAAAAAAAAAAAAGAAAAAAAAGGAGGGATATATATATATACATATAGATAGATAGATAGATAGATAGATAGATAGATAGATAGAGAGAGAGAGAGAGAGAGAGAGAGAGAGAGAGAGAGAGAGAGAGAGAGAGA